ATTTACATTTAGTTAAAAGTGGCTGTAAATCATCAGCTCCAGTGGTGCAGATGGATAAGTGTGTGTTGTTGGCTTTTTGATGCAATCGACCCGGGTTCGATCCCACCTTTTGCCGAACTTTTTTTTTCTCCCTTTTCAAATCACGTATTAGCAATGGATTCTATTAACACTAAGTGAAAATAGCAGTATTCTTAGCAATATGCTATTTACACTAAGTGCAAATACCTATCTACACTATGTTAAAATAGCAGGATTTCTACTATCAAGTATACTACTTGTTGCAAATAGTGGCAATTATCTGCACTTCAGTATTGTAGTACATTATAAAACAGTATGCAATAATAACGTATTGAGTGTAAATTATAATTTTAATTTTAATTATACGATGTGATACGAGATTTGAAAAGGGAGAAAAAAAGTTTGGCAAAAGGCGGGATCAAAGCCGGGTCGATCGCGTCAAAAAGCGTCTGGTTCTTCCTGTATACGTTGATTGACAGATGTCTCGTCCAGTCAGCGGTGAGTAATCCCAAACCAATGGCGCTGTCTCAAACTATATCTACCTCTTCCGGTTTGTCTGATTTGTCGTTGTGTTTTCTGACTTGTTAATTTGTTTTCGGATTTGTCGTTGTGTTTTCTGACTTGTTATAATGTTTTCTGAATTGTTGTTGTGCTTTCTGAATTTTTATTTTGTTTTTTAGACTTGCATTTGCGTTTTTAATTTGCTATTTTGTTTTCAGAATTGTGATTTGTTTTGCACTTCTCGGCCACCGCAGTAACCCCTATGTTAACACAGGAAAGAAACTCCGCTCATCAAACTATTTCACATGATCTTGAACTCAACTTGAGTCTCCTGAAGAGAGCAACATCTTTTCCTCTACCTCTACCCGTTTTCCCCTGCTTCTTTGATTGTCCCCTTTAGATTCACACACAACGGCTTTGAGAGAGCCTGCAATATGAATTCTAATAGAGCAATTACCATTATGAATGATAACTAGGGATATTCCGCTGATCTAGGGTCAGGGCCCGTGCAATAGCTCTTATGATTACGGAGTATGGAATCAGGTTCAGGAAATAGCAGTGCTCCGCTAGCCAGCGGGAATGTTTAACCTACATCACGGATCCCTGTCCTATTGATTAGACCATTAGACTTGAACCGCTCAGAGGAAATTTGCACAATCCTCTTTCCATATGAAATCTTTGCATTAATGCTCCACAATTTAACAGCAAAGCTATCAGATTTCTTCAGAATATTTATCCGTTCACTTTCCAGCTTTCCTCTAAAAACTGAATAATATGTCATTTTGAGTGTGATTTCGAGGGCTGCACTGCTCATGTATTGACTCTCAAAAATAATGTCCTCAAGCCTCTTCATTTAACAGTTACTACTGTTAAGAGGCTATTTTGTGATCATTGCCATTAGCCGATAACCATTCATACGCTTGGAAGACTAACAGAAGACTGAACTATCAAAGACACATTTTTATTTAGTCATTTCTGAGTAAATACTATGTGCAAATGACATAACAGCACTTAACAGCATAACAGCATTATTTGCCATCTGCCACCCGGCTCTATAGATATTAGCTATATCCCAAACTTCAACCAAACTCATATCAGTTACCACTAAATAACATTTTATTAAATAAACAATATCTAGTTATTTACATAAATAATATAAAATTATTAGTGCTGTCAAACGATTAATCGCAATTAATCGCATCCAAAATAAAAGTTTTTGTTTACATAATGTGTGTATACTGTGTATATTTATTATGTATATGTAATACAAAAAAAATTTTCTTAAACGTATATATTTAAGAAAAAGATGTTATGTTTATATATTAAATATATTTATATATAATATAAAATATAAGAATAAAAATATATAAATGTATATACATGTAAATATTTTCTAAATATATACTGTATGTGTGTGTATTTTTTTAATAAACATAATAAATATACACAGTACACATACATATATTATGTAAAAAAAACTTTTATTTTGGATGCGATTAATCGAGATTAATCGTTTGACAACACTAAAAAGGTTAGGTTTCTCTTTTTCCTCTACCAAAACTGTCCTATCAAAAAATTTTAAATAAAATGTAAAAAAATCCTCTACCAAAACTTTCCTATCAAAATTTTTTTTAAATAAAATAAAATATAAAAATACATAAAATACAATAGGTACAGATTTTTTTTTCTGTAATTTTGGGGATGTTTTTGTACTTATTCTCACAGTTTTGCATTCAGAGGCAACTACAAATTATTCATATTTTGAATTCCCTTGAATTGGTGCTCTCAAGAGATGAAACTGTATGTTTGAGCATCACAACCAATATTGAACAAGACTTGCTCAACCAATAGCATGAGTTTGGAGCGGGATTATCTCTCAGAGTGACCAATGGTAGACATTCAGGAAATATGCTTTAATATAACTTAATTTTTCAACAACATTTGCATATGTGACGTATGACATATGCATTTAACTTATTAAATTAGTGCTCTGCATTTAACCCATCCAAAGTGCACACACACAGCAGTGAACACACACCGTGAACACACACACCCGGAGCAGTGTGCAGCCATTTTTGCTGCAGCGCCCGGGGAGCAGTTGGGGGGTTCGGTGCCTTGCTCAAGGGCACCTCAGTGCACCTCAGTCCTGTTATTGATATGTAGCTGTATATGTCAATAACAAGTATATACCTGTAACCTATATATACAGTGGGTACGGAAAGTATTCAGACCCCCTTAAATTTTTCACTCTTTGTTATATTGCAGCCATTTGCTAAAATCATTTAAGTTATTTTTTTTCCTCATTAATGTACACACAGCACCCCATATTGACAGACTCTCTAACCATTAGGCCACGACTTCCCAACATGTAAACATGTTTTCAAGTTCAAAGCATATCGATTTTGGAGAGGCTAGCAAGAGCAAGCTAGCTTTAAAAGCATAAATTCCCACCCTCCCCACCTGATTGCTATCAGGATGTGAAGATACTGTGAACCAGCATAACAAAAAAATGTTTTGAACCAAATCACCTACCCTGCTTTAAAAAAAAAAATTTTTATCAAAACTTCGAAACAAAATGTTAGAATGAAACACATCTCTTAACACTATTCATGTAAACATGTTTTCAAGTTCAAAGCATATCGATTTTGGAGAGGCTAGCAAGAGCAAGCTAGCTTTAAAAGCATAAATTCCCACCCTCCCCACCTGATTGCTATCAGGATGTGAAGATACTGTGAACCAGCATAACAAAAAATTTTTTGAACCAAATCACCTACCCTGCTTTAAAAAAAAAATTTTTTATCAAAACTTCGAAACAAAATGTTAGAATGAAACACATCTCTTAACACTATTCAGAAAGCATGGCATTAAAGGCGGCCCACTTTTACTACGTATATTCAAACACAGTCTCTCTCTGTGAGTGGTTTGGTATTTTGCACATAATGCAGTGCCATTCAGACACTCATTGTCATTTAAGTGTCAAATCTACATATATACACACACATATGCAGCCTACAAAACCCATTCAACACACACTTACCCAAAATTGAGCCACTGAAGGTTCTCAATGTACATCTGAACTATATCACAGAAACACATGGTGTAACCCTCTCTCTCTTTCTCTGACTCTCTCTGTCTCTTGCCCTTCATTCTGTTCCTCCCTTCGCTCTGTCTGTCTCATGCTGATAGCAATGAAAGTGATCTACGGGGGAGGCCGTGCACACACAAGTACACAGCTACAGTGAGTGTGTGTGTGTTTGTTGCACTGTGGGAAGGTTTGTCCTGCTGTGTTAAGCTCATGTATGGACTAAATCGACAAAGGCTTTCAGTCACACACACACACATTATCCCACATCCTAAGAGACTTACACCACAGCAGCACTAATGTGACGCATATAGGCCACTGTCCTTCAGACTGGAGCATGAAAAATCATACTTCGCTCAACACTCAAATCACTATATATCAAATCATGACATTAGCCATTATATAATTGTCTGATTATGAGTATTTGCTCTATTTTGAATATTTTGAGATGATCACTGCACATTTTAAATTCCAGTTACATACTATCATCCAAATAAGAGATTCTGAAATGAGTATTAGAGATGCCATGAAATGTACATTTTCATATATGTGTCTATTTCCACTGCACTGAGAGCGGTCGGCTTCACATTCTCTGTCTAATTCACTTTAAACATGTATGACAAATGCACTCTGAGTTCATTGTATATTCAGATTCAAATCTAAATGTTTATGGTCATTCAAGGTTACAATTCAAGGAAATATTATGTAATAATACAGAGGAGGAGACAACAGTATATTTTCAGATTTGGAATCAACAATCAGAATCAAGAGGATATCAAAATAAAATAAAATCAAATAATTAAATTAAATAAAACAATATTTACAACCCTAAAATGCTAAAAATTAAAGACAGAAATAAAACACTAATATATTTTATATTACTATTATTATTAGTAGTAGCACATTTACATTTAGTAATTTAGCAGACAGTTTTATCCAAAGTGACTTACAAATGAGGACAATAAAAGCAGTCAAAACTAACAAAAGAGCAACAATATATAAGTGCAAATGACAAGTCTCAGTTAGCCTAACGCAGTGTAGCAAGGTATGTATATATATATATATATATATATATTATACACACACATACACACAAAGAAAAACAAGCAGAATAGAAAATATAGAAAGCTAGTGTTTTTTTTGTTTGTAATGTAATACAACAATAAAGAAAAATAAAGTATTTATAAAATATAAAAGAATATATTAAAATACATATTATTATTGTTATTATTACTACTACTATCTAATATCATGTCATTCTACCCTGTGAATTGTTTCTATTTGTTTACAAAGCCTCAAAGGAACACATACATTAATAAACTGCATAATCTCAACAAAGTTCAAAGTTTATACAATGAAACACCAGACAGATGTGATAATCATGATGGATGTGACTGACCTGATATGATTGTATATCCGATTCCACGTGGTCGACCTAAGTCTTGATCGATCGCCCTGATCTTACGGACTTCATAACCCTACAGACACACACAGACAACAGGCATTTAATGAGAGGTAAAGCAAGAAACATGTGAAAATTATGCACACAAGTGCATAAATAGACTTTTGTTTGGACAACATATCTATTGTTTTATCATTTGTTTTTAAAACGCTTTGCTTGTGTGCTTGTGCTGTTTTAAAATAAATGCCACTTGGTTTTATTTTGTCTAATGCAATGACAATCAGACATTTCAAGTGTTCAAATGCTTTTGTGTGCAACTGTTGAGGAAACTGTTACAGGGGTATCAGCTTCAAAAATGAATGCATCAAATGAGACATGAAAAACAACAAACAGAGAAATATTCTGAGTTTGAGGACTCTTTGATCCTGAATGAGAAACAGTACAGATGCTTAAGGAGAAAAGTGAGAGAGCGTCTGCCATTGATCCAGCTAATAGTGTCTGAGAGCTGTTTATGCTTCATTTCTGCCAACACTCCACTGCTATTACAGCACACAATCTATTACAGCACGTTTAGCGCCAGAATGTGAGGAGGAACGAGGGAGAAATGGATGACAAAAGCGGCTGAACAGGGGATGAAGTGTGGCTGAAGTAATTTGCGAGCCATTCTCTTGCCGTCCGCACAAGTTGAATGTTCAATCATGCAACACGTCTTTCTCCTTCTCTTTCCTGTCCTCTCATCCTTAAACATTCTCCCTGCACCTTCTTGTCCACTCCTCCATCCTCCCTCTGTCCGCGTCTCTTCTCTTGCACCATTTCAGTTCAAGCGCTTGACAGCCAAATTGTGTTTGCCCCTAAAAAGCCTTTAAATGTCACTCTGACAAAAGAAAACGCCAAACAGTGGTGCAAAAACTCCCCACTTTTCCCGCAAAACATTGTTTTTCTCTCTGTTTTAGCTGTTGTCAAACTTTGGTCCATTTGGCAGCTGAATTCAGTTTTCTACAGTATGAGCATGAACCTCAGAGCTGTGTTTGTGCCAGAGGGTCAAGGTTTGACGGGTTAGAATGGACAGCGAGCTCCTGCTGGTAGACGACGTACTACACCAATCCACAGGACATCCAAACATCCAGCTGTGTATTAAAAAATAAAAATATATAAATAAATAAAATATATATATATATATATACAGGTGGGGAAAAAATATCCTGCTGGATATCTATACTGATATGGACTGGGTAATGTGCTAGGAACGAAAGGATGCCACATCATTTGATGGAAATTAAAATTATCAACCTACAGAGGGCTGAATTCAAAGACACCCCGAAAATCAAAGTGAAAAAATTATGCAGCAGGATAGTCCATTTTGCTGAAATTTCATTGCAGCAACTCAAAATGGTACTCAGTAGTATGTATGGCCCCCACGTGCTTGTATGCATGCCTGACAACATCAGAGCATGCTGGTAATGAGATGACGGATGGTGTCCCGGGGTATTTCCTCCCAGATCTGGACCAGGGCATCACTGAGCTCCTGGACAGTCTGAGGCGCAACCTGGTCATGTCGGATGGACCGAAACATAATGTCCCAGAGGTGTTCTATTGGATTTAGGTCAGGCGAGCGTGGGGGCCATTCAATGGTATCAATTCCTTCATCCTCCAGGAACTGCCTGCATACACTCACCACATGAGGCCGGGCATTGTTGTGCACCAGAAGGAACCCAGGACCCACTGAACCAGCGTAGGGTCTGACAATGGGTCCAAGGATTTCATCCCGATATGGCAGTCAGGGTACCATTGTCTAGCCTGTAGAGGTCTGTGCGTCCCTCCCCAGACCATCACTGACCCACCACCAAAACAGTCATGCTGAACGATGTTACAGGCAGCATAACGTTCTCCACGGCTTCTCCAGACCCTTTCACATCTGTGTGCCAGTGGCGGACCTGCCAATTCTGTTGTTCAATGGCAAATGCCAGTCGAGCTCCACGGTGCTGGGCAGTGAGCACAGGGCCCACTAGAGGACGTCGGGCCCTCAGGCCACCCTCATGAAGTCTGTTTCTGATTGTTTGGTCAGAGACATTCACACCAGTGGCCTGCTGGAGGTAATTTTTGTAGGGCTCTGGCAGTGCTCATCCTGTTCCTCCTTGCACAAAGGAGCAGATACCGGTCCTGCTGATGGGTTAAGGACCTTCTACAGCCCTGTCCAGCTCTCCTAGAGAAACCGCCTGTCTTCTGGAATCTCCTCCATGCTCTTGAGACTGTGCTGGGAGACTTCTGGCAATGGCACGCATTGATGTGCCATCCTGGAGGAGTTGGACTGCCTGTGCAACCTCTGTAGGGTCCAGGTATCGCCTTGTGCTACCATTAGTGACACTGACCCTAGCCAAATGCAAAACAAGCGAAAAACAGTCAGAAAAGATGATTATGGAAAAAATGTCAGTGGCCTCCACCTGTAAAACCATTCCTGTTTTGGGGGGTTGTCTCATTGTTGCCCATCTAGTGCACCTGTTGTTAATTTCATTAACGCCAAAGCAGCTGATATTTATTAACAACCCCCTCTGCTACTTATCCCAGGAGTTTAATTGACTTAATGCTATACTCTGATTAAAAAGTGTTCCTTTAATTGTTTGGAGCAGTATATATACTATATATATATATATATATATATACACTGAACAAAATTATAAACGCAACACTTTTGTTTTTGCCCCCATTTTTCATAAGCTGAACTCAAAGATCTAAGACTTTTTCTATGTACACAAAAGGCCTATTTCTCTCAAATATTGTTCACGCTGAATGGGGGCAAAAACAAAAGTGTTGCGGTTATAATTTTGTTCAGTGTATATATATATATTGATTATAATAATAATCATAAATAATAATATTTTATTCAGCAAGGATGCATTAAAATTATCAAAAGGGACAGTCTCTCTCCTCTTATTTGCACAAAAATATTAACTGTTTTCAACATTGATAATAGTGAGAAATGTTTCTTAAGCAGCAAATCAGCATATTAGAATGATTTCTAAAGGATCATGTGACACTGAAGACTGGAATAATGATGCTGAAATTGCATCACAGGAATAAATTACATTTTAAAATATATTCATAGAGAAAACTGTTGTTTTAAATTGTAATAATATTTCACACTCGTTTTTACTGTGTTTTTTGATAAAAAAAATCCAGCCTTGTTGAACATAAAGAAAAAAAACTACACTAAAATTGAGTGATAGTGTAGAGTTAAAAATAAGAAATACTGTAACACTGTAACACTGTGAGTAAAAACTCACTTGCAATTTAAAAATCATACTGTAATATATAAAGTCAGTTATGAGAAACAAAACCACAATTGTGGGATTAACACAATTATGAGAAATAACGTTGCAATTCTGACACAATTACATTGTTATTTTCTAAAGGCATGAACTGGCATCCGTATATAGTGCATATTTAACTATATTCAAGCATTATGGTGAATCATAAATGAACACCTCACCCAAAATATAGATAATACGGTGTGAGAATGAAGTTATATTTTAGTGGTTTAAACAACAGAGAGTGATAGTAAGATTGCAACAGAAAAACAAAGCTACACGAAGCTACAAACGCAAACCACTCAACAGCACGGCAGACAGGAATTATTTAACTGAATTCATATAAAAAATGTATTCCTTTATTTTAATTTAATTAATACAACATTTTATTAAATACATTTTGACGAATCTTCAAACTGATCTTTCTATACAATGACCAAATAGTGGTGCCTGTCGAGCTCCAAAATGGACCAAAATTAAAAAAGTATTAAAAAAAACTCATAGTTATTATTAAAATCATCATATCACCATATGAAAAGTACGTGATAACATTTTTGGATGTCAACATATGCTAAATGTGACCTTGAAAGACATGGTCACATGAACCATCCTTGCATATAAAGAGCTTTGCAAAAATTACCTAGGAGGAGAAAAAAATATATAATAGATTATACTAGATTGGGACAATGTGAGGGTGAGTACATAATGATAGGATTGAGAATCTTGGGTGAACTATTGATTTAACTATTGCTTTAACTATAACTATTGCTTTGTGTTTCTCCAATGTAAAAAAGCCATTGAGATGTGTGGGAAAATAAGCTAAGGGATCTCTCGCTCTCTCTCTCCAGGTGTCTGAGCGAGAGCGATGCACCTGAGATGGAGCGGGGGTTAAGAGTTGTGTTTTGACAGATGACCCACGACAGCTCTGCGTGTTTGATATCTGTTTGCGTGTAAATGTCAGTAGCCTTGAGAACTCTCCACACCCACTCAGTCACTTAGCCCGAGGCCCGTCGACTGAGCCGGCACACACTCCGTACAAGCGTGTGTGAGTGTGAGTGTGAGGGAAGATAAGCTTTAAGCTCTCTGCGTGTGGCTAAGTGTACGTGTCAACATCGTTTTATATGAACATGCTAGTGTGACGTGTGCCCTTATTGAGGGCGTACGTGTTTAGACTGTCTAATTCTCATCACAAAAGCCTCTTGTCTTTTTTTAATAGCGTTTCTGCAACTTTAGGAAATAAGAAATGAAATGTCAAAATCAATCGCGTCCACTAGGAACTTGATGCTGACCGCCACATTTAGACAGGACAACTGGTCTAAAGTCATCACTGTCTTCTTATTCATGACCTTCCCGAGACGACTGATAGATCCGTGTCACCACACTTCACTTCTGACACACTCATGAGTTAATATGCATGCAAATGGACACCAGAGACAAAGATAAAAGGAGGGAGAGAGAAAATATGGGGCATGAAAGAAAGAGAAATAGGTGAAAAGGCAGCAACTCAGAGGCTTAAGAGTTGGTTGAGAAGTGGAGTGATACAAATGGTGAAATACTGATATGTACATTTTGTAATGAATTAAAATGTTTGCTGTCAAACGATTAATCATGATTAATCGCATCCAAAATAAAAGTTTTTGTTTACATAATATCTGTGTACACATGCATGCATGTATATTTCAGAAAAATGTTATGTTTATAAATTAAATCGATTTATATAATATAAATATATACATGTAAATACATGTACATGTCAATATTTTCAAAATATACAGTGGGGAAAAAAGTATTTAGTCAGCCACCAATTGTGCAAGTTCTCCCACTTAAAAAGATGAGAGAATGAGACAGCACTAATTAAAATATACTAAAATCGAAAACAGTCCTTTTAAATTTCACTACATTACTGTTGAACTGTATTTTTGATCAAATAAATGCAGTTTTGGAGAGCATAAGAGACTAATTAAATAAAAAATAAAAAAATCATAATTATTCAAAACTTTTGACTGTTAGTATGTGTATTAAATATGTACAATACTGATATTTTACACAAATTAAAATGACATCAAAATGAGTTATTTTTCTATAGATCGATATATCAAAATATAGTTATTTTTGCTTATAAGGGCGGCACTGTATTGATTGTCCTTATATATATTTTTTTTATTATTTTTTTATTTTATTTTTTTAAAGGAAAATGAATGCAGTGCTGCCTTATAAGCAAAAAAAAATTTTATTTTATACTTTATTGTTCTTCAAACATTTCTGCATTTTATTCAGCTTGAAATGCAAGTTTGCAGATACAGTTTTACTCTTAGGAGAGACTTCTGGTTTTGGTGTATGTAAAACTTATAGTTTTAAATCAATTTAAGAATGTATTTTGATTAAATATAGCTGATTCTGCTTTGGTTTATTTTGGAACTATTTTCTTTAGTGGAGAAGAAAGTTAACTATTTTGTGTCTAAAATAAAACTTCAATATTAACTTATTTTTTATTAAACTGTTGTACAGTATAAAATCGATACAGCAGTTCAGTAAGTGTGAATCTCCATTGGAAATATGTGATTTCTGGTCTATGGTCTGTTGTAAAGGCAGCTTTAACGTAGCTACTTCCAGTTTCAATTTCACACAGACAGAAACACGCACAAACACACATCCAACACACACATCCTCAGAGCCTGCGGCGGTGTGTTTGACACAGTAAACCAACACAGGACCAAACGGCCAGTAGTGAATCTCGGGTTGAATGACCTTTCATGGGCTCTCACACTGAGCAGTTCACAGTATAAATCTATCACTGTAATTACAGGAATATTCCAGCGAGAGTTCACAGGTGTAATGGCTGCTTCTCTCATAATTATTGTCTAATTACTCAACACACATGCATTATATCACTCATTGTCAGCCAAACTGTCTCTCTCTCTCTATGTCTGTTGCTCTCTCTCATTCCCTGGAACGTTTTCTGTTTATACAAATCTTTACTTTACTTTTACATTTTTGTCCTTACATATATATATATATATATATATAATTTTACAAGGTTTTGAGTTACAGCCAGATCATTTTTAGATAGAAACCATAAAACAGAAATATATATATTACTATATATTACAAATATTACTGTTTTATGGTTTCTATCTAAAAATGATTTGGCTGTAACTCAAAACCTTGTAAAATTACATCCTTTCTAACATGCTTATGAGGCCCAAATATGCTGTCTACGTAGGCAGCTCACTAGGTTTTGTGCCAATGCATTTGGATCAATCTGTCCAGGACATGTCCATGTTTGCATTTGAGAATAACGCAAATTACAAACACATTAAAGTTATTAGAGAAATTGAGAGGGACCTTTCCTTAATTGTCATGAAAATAATACTATAATGAAAAAAAAGTAAGTGTATATATTTAAACAAACAAAAATGTAAAAACAATAATAATAATAAAATAAAATAGTAATCCTGAATAAATAAATAAAATTACAAAGACATTAAAGTTATTAGAGAATTTGAGAGCGACCTTCCATAGTTGTCATGAAAATAATGTCAGAATAAATAAATTCATTAAAAAAAATGTTTGTGAGATTCACCCATCTAAATACTGCTGAAGTAAGTACAAAGCAAGACTAAACGTATGTGTGTGTACTGACTGGTGGTGCGTCCTCCATTATATTAGTGCTGTAGGGGAGGTTGGTGAAGATGGGGTCCATGTCTTGAATATCAGTGATGGTAATCGCCAAATTAGCCAGACTCGAGAGCGGACGCCGTTTATCCTGGTCCTGTTACAGAGAAAAACAAGTAGACATGTTTTATTTGGCTTTGAAATTGACTCAATAATTCCACAGTGTAGAGCTCTTCAGTGTGTGTTTTCTAACCGTGGCATTAACAGTGAGCTGGTAGGCAGTTGTCGTCTCATAGTCCAGCGTTCTCGTCACAGTAACGATTCCTCTGGCCCCGTCAATGGAGAAGAACAGAGAGGGAGGCTGGAAGGAGAAGAGCACACTGCCGCCCACGCCCTGATCCGGGTCTGTCGCGTTCACCATGAACACGGACGTTCCCACTGGAGTGTTCTACACACACAGAGACAGTAATGATACAGTACATGTTATTAAATATATACAATGTTGTGCTGTCCACATGAGAAAGAAAGAAAGAACTTGCATAATGAGCACTATTTAATGCTGCGGTTAAGCAGATTGCAGGTGATGAGCGACAGCTCTTGCCTCGGTCATTTCACCTGTCAGTAAGTGACACACATTTGAGATGATCAGACCCCTGCTATCTCTGAGATATGATGCAGTCAGTCAGCATCAGAGAGAACACACAGACTAAAATGCTGGAGGAGCATTTTCAGACTCTCCCTAAGTTTTAAGTCAGTATTCATACAATATATCTTCAGGGACGGGATCTATAGGGGTGAATCTGATTAAAACAGGTGAAAATACAACGTTTTTACTCCAAAACAAAGCCATATATAATATGACACAGTAATGAATATATATATATATATATATATATATATATATATATATATATATATGAGCAATGTATATATGATATTGTGTTTATACAACAGTTCGACGGAACATGTGTGTAATTAAACAAGAAACAACGGAGAGCCTAATAAACCCCTCTTTTGTACCGAACTACTTCCTTCCGCCACAGATTCAAAGCTCAAGGTGACAGTTAAACATACATCACTTTTAAAATTCATATCAAGGGCATGTGCTGCTTCAGTTAGGTTATTAGTGACAAGACATCCATCTAAATGAGAGAGAGAGATATCCTTTTATATTAACTAATGTACTCTACGATTAGCTCAGTGAATAATTAAAAACAAACATAGATCCAGCTAGAACAAGCGGAGTGATAAAAAATTGTGAAAGGGAGTTCCTGTAGCGATACCAGTACAATATCTCACGGTTCTCAACCAATCAGATTTGAGAACCAGAATTAACTGTTGTATAAATATACATATATACACACACACACACACATGTATACAGTATATA